AAGGTAGAGAAAGTTCATTGCATCCATTTTCGCTGAGAAGAGGTCCAATATTTGGGAAGGTTCCAAAACAAAACTCGACCCATTGCTTCCACCTAAAATAAAAAAAAAAAAGTTATTTTATATTGAGTTTAGTAACGAAGAAATTTAAACACTTTTTAAGTGTCATTTTCAAAAAATACCACATTTTCAAAAATTTTGCAAAAATGCCACTTTAAAAAAAAATTTATTATACAATTTATGTTTGAGTTAACTATGTTGTATTAAGGTTTAATTTTATTAGTTTTAGGGGTCAAAACATTTTTTAGGGTTTATCATTTTAAGATTTAGGTTTTAAAAATACATAATTAGTGATATTTTTGCAAATGGACACCCCTAAGTGGCATTCTTACAAATATACACACTAAAAATAGCAGTTTTGCAATTGTCCCAATTTATAACTACTAGGCCTATATCTGCGCATACGCGTGGGTTATTCATACGGAAACTAATTTATTGTGTTGATTCCTTCGTAAAGCTTAAAACCATTATTAAATTACGTTTTCCGATTATAATTATCAAAATTGAGTATATGTTATCAATTAAAAAGTGTAGGATTTAACCATAAGTACTATTACTTGTTTTATGGTAACTTAATTCGATCACATTAGAGAGAAGTACTGTTAATAAAATTGAATAATTTTGATTTGAACCTATTGAAAATAGAGAAATTTAAAAAATGCCACTTTTCAAGTGCCACTTTACAAAAGTACCACACTTTTGAAATCTTTACAAAAATGCCACTTTTTCAAAATTATTTTTTCTTTATATTATTTATGTTTGGGTTAATTATGTTCTATTAGGGTTTAGTTTTGAGTGTTTATGGGGTTTTAGGTGTCAAAACATTTTTTAGGGTTTAGAATTTTAAGATATAAGCTTTATAAATCTATAATTAGTGGCATTTTTGTAAATGGACACCCCTAAGTGGCATTTTTACAAATGTGCACACAAAAAATTGCATTTTTGTAATTGCCCCTTCAAAATATAGTTTTCCATCTACTTTTTACCTTGTATTCTTTTGTTTTAACGAATTTGTCTTGAGTTTTCCATCTAGAGTTCTCTCTATCAACTACTTATTGATGTAGGAGCGTTAATACTTATCGTTGCTTACATGATCAGTGAAGGAAATGAGTTTTTANTACTTTTAGATGTTTCTAACAATCGTTAGAACTTTTTAGTTGTGTTGATTCGACAAACATACGAAAAATATATTAAAATATATAGTTTGGACGCTAACATATTATTGTGTTGTGTTTGCAACTGTTGCATTATAAAATTAGGTGTATTGTAAATTGACCAAACAAGTGATTTTTATGTTCAATAGAAGCTTCAAGAATTTATACGATGGAAAAGTACTGACATGATCTGAATGAAGCATGACCATATTGTGGCTAAGTATTCATCTTAAGAATTTGCTAAGGAAAAATGCAGTCTGTACCCTTGAATGCCCTTCAAACTTCGTGTATTTACTATGTCAAAGGCTATGTGGTCTCCTGATGATGTC